CAATTGGATTTCCTGCATTATTGCTATTTCTTTGTCTGCCTGGATCTTATTTCTAGCTTATAAATGAGTTCCCATGACATGGAAGGAAAAAAAAGGACAAGTTTTTCTGAGGTACCTAAGCAAATATTCTGAGCAAAATTTCTGAGTAAGAAAAAGAGGTAACACAAGACAGACACTAGTAAAAGAAAAAATTAAAAAAAAGAAAAAAAAAAAAGAAAAGAAAAAGAGGGAACCAGAAAAGGACTTAAAGTGGTTGTGCCTGTATTCAAAGGACAAATATCCAGCTCTGACAGGACTCTGCTCCAGCCAGCTGGGCTTCCAGCATATGGTTTGTCTTGCAGTAGAATCCCATCCTTTTATAACAAACCATTTTAAAACTAATTTTCAAAATTATCCTGAGACTATTAATACATTTGAAGAAAATATAAGCCTGTGATGCTGATGAGGCTGCAAAAATAAGACCACCAAACTCCAATAATTACTTCCATTTAAGATAGCTCATACCAAGAAAAAACTATATCCAGGAAGATGGAAATAATGTGTGAAAAACATAAATGAGATCAAGTCATAAACAAAAGCCATTATGAAATTAATATTTTTGAGGATGATACAGGCAAAGGGTCTGATTTTTTTTTTTTTTTCGGGGCTGAACATTGCAAGGAAAGGGGTGTATTTAAAGCAACCTGTGGCTATCTTGTTTTTGAGTAAATGATATAGTGGATCAGTTCCCTCAACTAAAGAAACGTTTTGATTCACCTGTTCAATATTTTACTTGCCCACATGTCACACAGAAAGATCAGGTGGGCGATATAGACCTTTAATGCCATCACCATTTTAGGGGGTGAAGGATTTGCATAGAAAAATAAAGGACAGAAAAAGCATCATGATGCTACTACCTTCAGTTAATTACATTTGAAATGTCCAGTTCATCTTTTATTGCCTCTTATTTTGTTCATTTATTAATTTTTGAGTGGCAACCCTGGGCTGAACACCTCTACAACAAGAGTTAGCCCTGACCTCAGGGAGAAAAACAAAATTGTTGACCTCAATGAAGAAGAGGAAAGATCAGAGCAGAGTTTCAGATGAGAATGAAAGTGTCCTACAGTCAGTTAATTCTCAGATCACTGGACATTGTGGATGCTCTGATGCTGAAGTTGGTAAGAGCTCTGACCAGAGTGTTTCTCACCTTGGCATTCAAAGTGCCTCTCCAGTGTGAATTCCAATGAACTCTGAAGTGAGAATTCTATCTTAAGGTCTTCCTACACTCTACATTAGTAAGGTTTCTCACCAGTGTTGAACTCTTATGAAGAGGAACCTCCAATCTCCACCTGAGGCCTTCTCCACCTGCAAGCATGAAGATCTCCCAGGTCTTTCCCTTGTTTACACTCCTGGGATTGCCCCACTTCAGAGTCCACGGAATGGAGTGTTGATTATAGGACCTACACCCACTAAAGTCCCTCCTCACCCCCACCCACAGTCCAGCTTAGAGAACGCCCGACATAACCAGCTGACCAAGGGTATAAAAGCATTCTGCTCCTTTCTTGATGATTCTCTGGATAATCTGCCCAAGAGCTGTCCCAGACCTCTGCCCACTCCCAAAAAATAACCACCTTCTCTCTTAGCAAAAGGCGTCAAAATTATCAACTCCGCTGCCCCCAATACTCATAACTTCCACATCTATCTTCTTAGTCCCTCCAACAGTCTCAGAGGGCAGTGCTTTCTCTCTAAAGCTAATATTGCTTTTCGCACCTTGTCCATTCTTTCCCGTTGCAAATAAGTTAAACTGTAATAATTAGTTATTAAATAATTATCTTAATAATTGTTTATTATTAAGATAAGGATGGAGATTGGCTGGATGCCCAGAAGAAGGTGGGCCGCGGCAAGGACTCCATAAATATCCGTGAAATGGCTGAATGAATCCCACCCTGAGACGTGAAACGTCCTCACAAACTACAAATCCCATCAGGCGGGGTGAAAACGCCACAAGCCCCTGGCCATGGCTGCGCCGCACACTGACGCAGGAGCCTCCGCGGGCGCCCCAGAACCCTCGCAGGCGACAGTGAACTCGGCCAGGGAGTCCCTCCGCCCTTAGCATCCAACCCTATTGGTCACTGGGGAAAAGGCCCGCGGGATCTCAACTAATCAGCGCGCGGAGCCCCGCCCCCCAGCCCTCGAGCCCCGCCCCCGTGCGGTCGGGGTCACGCGCAAACGAGGGGGCTTCCCGGCTTCCTAGAGAGGTCCCAGCGGCAGACACGCTTCCGCTTGTGTCGGGTTTGGCGCTTCCCTCAGGGTGTCCTACCGCCTTGTGTCTGGCTGTGTCGGCAGCCAAGCGCATTTGGTGACTTTGTGGAGACTTGGAGGGTGCCAACAAAGTTGGGCCCACCAGTGGAAAACTGGCTGTAAAGCATGTTATAAACAAGGAAAAAAATAAGAGTTCTTGTCAGCTGGTACAACAGGAGAGATCGGAATCTGGCCGCTTCCGGGGGCTGGGAGAAGGGACTTGGGAAGGACGCCCAGGGACTTGGAAGGGGAAGAGCTCGGATCCCAGGGCTCCTAAAAGGGGCTCTGGACCGCCTGCCGCTGCCTCCATCCCGTCAAGCCGCCTTCCTCCTTCCCTTATGTGCACCATCCCAGCTCTCAGAGCTTCAGGGACAAGTGGCTCGGCATGATAACCCGGTTGATTAAAATAGTGAAGCTTCACGCCTGTAATCCTAGCACTCTGGGAGGCCAGGTGGGCGGATCGCTCGAGGTCAGGAGTTTGAAACCAGCCTGAGCAAGAGCAAGACCCCATCTCTACTATAAATAGAAAGAAGTTAATTGGCCAGCTAATATATACAGAAAAAATTAGCAGGGCATGGTGGCACATGCCTGTAGTCCCAGCTACTCGGGAGGCTGAGGCAGAAGGATCGCGTGAGCCCAGGAGTTTGAGGTTGCTGTGAGCTAGGCTGACGCCATGGCACTCACTCTAGCCTGGGCAACAAAGTGAGACTCTGTCTCAAAAAAAAAAGGTGAGCTTTCTCTCCTGCTTGGCAGCGCTGACAGTCACCCACGAGTCTCCACGCTTACCTCTCCCGCCTAGTACAGGTGCTGTCATGCCGCAGACGCTCAGCAAGTGGTTAATGACTATATAGTAACTTGCATTGCTGAGGCCTGCCTCCTCGTATGTCACCAGAATTGTCCCCGTCCCTTCTCATGGGGCTTTTAGTGAGGACCAGCTGCCCCCCATTTCCAAGGGTTCACCCAGGCAGATCGTTTTGACATAGCTTCATTCCAAAAGCCGAGGAATGCGGTGAAGAGATTGCAGAAGTTACTTAGTAATTTTTTTTTTTATGATAAAATTTTGCCTTTAAAAACATGTAAAGGACTAGGGAATCAGAGGATAGGTTTCAGGAGGTCCATGAATTCCCTAAAATTGCATATACAGTTTTCTGGCCAGAAATTTACTGATTTTTAAATATGATTCTTGATTTAACTGCATTAAGAACCTGCTCTATACCAGGAGTCACTTAAAAGAACACTTATAAAAACTGAATCGTAGACAATAATCATTATCAGCAGTAGCTGCCCTGAAATCTCAGTAATAAGGTGATTAAAAGGAAAAATTGGACCATGCAGATGATCCAGGATCTTACATTGTTGATCATGAAATGTGTATACACACAATAGGTAACACTCTGTTATGAAAGGTAAAGGATCTCACCAAGCAAAGCAGAAGATCAAGGATACATAGTGAAAAACCAGGAGCTTAGAGCATAGCATGTTTGGGTACTTGAGTAAGGGTGAAACTTACAGGGTGGAGATGAAACTGGTATACAAAGTCACATTAAAATTATAATGAAACACAATGCAGTTTGAATAATAAACATTAGAAAGGCATAATGTGAGTAAAATCGTAAAGAAATGCTTTATTTACCTAAAATGTTAGTATATCATTAATTAGGGAGAAAAATGTACATGGGCATAGCTTCAAAAATTCTGAAGGATATTTCTGGGTATTTAGGTAGGACTTTGAAATTGTGAGGCCTGCTGATTTGTTGTTTTCTTTTTTTTAAAATAGGTCTAAAATTAAGATAAATTACGTCTTTTCCTTGGTAGTATTCTATTTGCATAAAATTATGACTACCAATCAAACTCATGGTCAGACATTGACTCCCATGTAAGGTGAAGAGGGAGGGAGGCAAGTGGAAAATGAGAGAAATCTTCCTGAGATAACTGGGTGAGAGGTGGAAGAGAGCAGGTTACAGGAGTTGTGTGCAGTGTACATAAAGAGATGCAAGTAATTTCATTCACCAGAATTCCTCCTGTGAAAGCACTATATATGTAGGAATATTCTTCTGAGAATGAGGTGTGAGACATCCCCCCTCTCAAGAATGTGCTCAGGCACAACAGGTCACTAAGTTGCCTTCTAATGTTCAAGTGAGTGGATTAAATAAAGGACCTTTTCTTTTGCTGAGTAGTGGTAGATTTGAGAAGGTAATGAAGCTGGGGACAAGAGATAGGGATAGTTTTGATATCTGGCAAGAGAAAAAGGAGCTAAGATCGCTGAGCCCTGAGAGGGGAGAATAAAAACTTTCATTGGCTATTTGACCAAGAAGGAACTTCTAAGGGAAAAAAAAATTTCTAACAGGATGTACAATGTGAACCCTTCTCCACCTCTTACACAGCTTCTTCAGTGAAGTCCGTACTGCTCATGGATGTGTTTGTATGAGTAGATTCTTTTGGAGGAAGCTTGAAGAGGTGCCGAGTTCTCTATCAGGGCTGGCAAGAGGTAAATGTGGAAATAAAGTATGTGAATACAGGAATCAGATGTTAAAGCAATTGGTGACATGCAGGTTTCTTGTGAGAAGGATATGGTCTGGGTACAATTCAATCTGAGTTTGAGAAATGAAAATAAAAGAATGAGAGAGCACCCTATACTTGTAATCACCCTGAGGGAAGAGGTAAGTCCAAGAACTTCCCCTGCTAAGAGTTTGTTAGAGGCAGAGGTACCTAGAAAGATATGGAAGCTGTGCAATCAACTGTTTATTTTTATAGCCCTCCTCTCAAACCAAGGGTTTGAGCCTGAAAAACAAATATATTGGGGTACAGAATAAATCCACTTTGTGGGTTTGGCTGTGGCCAGTTATGTTTTCAATGACATGATTTAAATTCATTATGTTCTAATCTATGTAGTAATTAGTAACAGAAAATTTGCAAAGGATTTCAAATAAGCTAATAATGAATCTGCCTGTCCACAGCACAGCATCGTGCTTAAGAGTATAGACCAGGGTTAGAGTCTTGGCTCTAGCTCTTATTAGCTGTGTGATCATGGGTAAATGACTTAACATCTTCCTTCTGTTCCTCCTCATCTTTTAAACTGGGGTTAGAATACCCACATTATTGATGGTTGCACAACTCTGTAAATTAAAAATCATTCAATTCAACACTTAAAACAGGTGAATTTATGGTATGTAAATTATACCTGTTAAGTTGTTCAAAAAAAGAGTACCCATATCATACAGATGCTGTGAAAACAAAAATGTAAACTGGCTGGCACTATACCTGGCACACAGTAAACACTCAATAAATAAATATTAGTGATTACTGTTAGTGTGACAAAGAAGAGATTAAAGAATAAAGATATGTAAAGTTAAAATTTTGAAAAGCAACTAAGGAATTATTGGGCTGATTGAAACTTCAGATATAATTTAGCTGAACTCCCTCATTTTACAAATGAGAACATTAGAGACCAGCAAGCGAAGTGCCTTATTCAAGGTTTAGTTCTAAGACCAGACCCCAGGCCTGCTGGATCCCCCTTAGTGCAATTCCTGGTGCCACCCACTGCCTCAGAAACATGGACACATGAAAAATGGAGGTCGTGTTTCCTTAAAGAAGAAATAACACAAAGGAAAACACAGGAAATGTATGTAGAGATGATGAAGAAAGAACTTCAAGGCCAAGGAGCAAACCAAGAAGAGGTTGTCACATCCTGGCCTATCAGCCAGGGCCTCCAGCAGTGGGCTCCAAGTTATGACAGCTTAAGTGCTTTGGCAAGGCCAGGCCCTGACCAGTCAGGTGAACCAGCTCACCACTGTGGCCACATGCCTGATGGAGGTGAAGCCACTCTGCTACACAAGATCTGTCAGCAGTGGCAGGACCTGGGGCCAAAACTCAATCCAGAATTATTGGGAACATTTGGTCTGAGCAGTCCTAAAGTGGGGATAGTGAATATAGGGCCCACTTCTACCCATGCTGAGTAGTCTGGCCTCTATTTTTTATCCCCTGGCATTGCCTTATTGGCCCCTCTGGATTCTAAGACCATTGCTCACAATCCTGTAAGTTGCCTGTCAATTCCTCCTCCATGGCAACCTCTTCAGATGAATAAGGATGCCTAGCATGAGATGAGAAATGACTCAAGCTTCCTGATTCTTCATTAATGTTGCCATCTTCTGAGAGAACTTGATAGTATGGCTGGAAGATGTGGAGGGTAATAAAAGCTTACTGAATTATTCCAATGATAAACAGTAGACAGGAGAATGAGGTGTGTCTTCTGAGTCATGACTAACATTTCAGGGGATAACATTCAATGAGTCAGCTGTCATTTTTAGGAGGTGGTGGAATCCTGTTCCCCCACTTTTCCTAAAGAGTAACAATTTAGGACAGATGGCTGATACAGACCCCTAATGTTATGTGTTCCACTCAGGGAGAAGAAAGAAAGAAAGGAAAGAGGGACAGAGGAGAATTAAGGCCTGAAACCACTTTTAGGATTAACTCAGTACATTGAAACTTATCAATGAATAGTTCATGAAAGTGCCTCATCCTCTTCTACCAACTCTTTAAATATAAATCAGTGCAAGGACAGAGGAGATTCTGTCCATTCATTTCATTTGAGAACTTGGGGTGGAGATTATGAACAAATAAGTCTGACTTTAGCCTTTCCACATAAAGCCTTCCTATCTTGCAGATCATTCCATACAGTGAACATTTTGATGTCGGAGGAGGTGAGAGCTCCGACTAAAGGTCTTCTGACATTCTTGGCACTCATAAGGCTTCTCTCCAGTGTGAATTCTCTGATGTATGATAAGCTGGGAATGCTGGCTAAATGTTTTCTCACATTCATTACATTCATAAGGTTTCTCTCCAATATGAATTTTCTGGTGGAGAAGCAGCTCAGAATTATCCCAAAAGGTTCTTGCACACTCATTACATTGATGGGGCTTCTCTCCAGTATGAATTCTCTGGTGAACAATAAGGTGAGAGGTCCGCCTGAAAGCCTTTCCACACTCAAAGCATTCATAAGGTTTCTCTCCAGTGTGAATTCTCTCATGTCTAAGAAGTTCTGAGTTCCCCCTGAAGGCCTTCCCACATTCCTTACATACATAGGGCTTCTCACCAGTATGAATTCTAATATGACGAATAATCTCTGAGTTCTGGCCAAAAGTTTTCCCACATTCATTACATTCATAGGGTTTGTCCCCTGTATGAATTCTTTGATGCCGAATAAGCTCAGAACTCTGACCGAAGCCTTTCCCACATTCATTACACAGGTATGGTTTTTCTCCAGTATGAATTTTCTGGTGTCTAATAAGGCCTGAGCTATGCTTGAAGGCTTTGCCACACTCATTGCATTCATGATATCTTTCTTCAGTATGAATTCTCTGATGCTGAATAAGCTGTGAACTAACCCTAAAGGTCTTCCCACATTCATTACATTCATAAGGTTTTTCTCCAGTATGGATTCTCTGGTGTAGAATAAGGGCTGAATTCTGACTGAAGGCTTTACCACATTCTTCACACTTATAGGGTCTCTCTCCAGTATGAATTCTGTGATGGTGGATAAGATGTGAACTCTGAATGAAGGCCTTCCCACATTCATTACAAGCAAAGGGTTTCTCTCCAGCATGAATTCTCAGGTGCCTTCGAAGGCTTGAATTAGTTCCAAAGGTCTTTCCACATTCTTTGCATTCAAAAGGTTTTTCTCCACTATGAACTCTCATATGCTGGATGAGATGTGAGTTCTGATTAAAAGCTTTCCCACATTCTTTACATGTATGAGGCTTTTCTCCCACAGAACTTTTCTGTGTTTTGTTAGGTTCTAAATTCTCTATGAAGTTTTGGGCAGAGGTAGCAAATGTACTAACTCCCTCTGCTATAGTATCTCCCTGATGTGTAACCAGATTTGGGCTGGGATTACAGCCTATTTCATTCTCATTATTCTCTTGATCTTTCTCACTTGAAGGTGATTTCTTAAAAATAATCAACCCTGATGCAAAGTCTTTCTCCTGAGGAGACATCTGCCCTATAATCTCTTCTGGGGACTCTCTCAAATGTCCCTCTGATAGATCTTCTTCACATGCTGCTCCAAATTCATGACTTTGGTAAACCACTTTTGGAAGTTTCTCTAATATTGACCCATGTGACTCAGATTCTTCAGAAATTTCTTCCTTAGGAATCACCTCCTTGTTCTCAGTACCCATCTCACAATCTGAAATGAGAAAGGGTAAGCATGTGAAGTGACTATATCATATTTAAATGAACCTAACCTAGAGGAGCACAGAGCTTTGACTTAGTTCTGATAGCTCAAAATCAGTCTTAGTATCCGGTGAAACAACAGGATGCTGCTGAAGAGAACACAGATTTGAGATTATGGTGGACAGGCTAAGTGCAGATACTGACTGAAAAAAAGTGAGAAAAATGATCAGAGAAAGAGATTTAAAGAGAGAAATAGGAAATGAATGGTAAAGAGATGCTGATAAAAAAGTTCCATAATATTAACAGTTGGGATGAAACCTAAGGTTGATAAAGAAAATGTTTCAGAAAAAATGGTTGCCATTTGTGAATTATATCTAACATTTACTAAATAATTATTGTCCCTATTGATTTAAAATGCCACCTGTACCATAGTCTAAATGTCCACATATTAATATATCTGGGTCAATTTCTGGATTCCATTCAGTTCTACTGTTCTAATTCTTCTCTAATACCACACTGTTCAACCAGCTATAGCTTTATTAAAATTTTTAAGTTATGTTAGAAAAAGTTACCTCTGAATTCTTTAACAGCTATTTCCTGTATATTCTCATTATTTTCCAAATAGATTTTAGTATAATTTTGTAGTCCAAACTTTTCTTGATGTTGTTTTTATGTCCATCGTGTCTCTGTATCTCTTTTCATTTAGTGAGTTTGTCTTATATTTTATAAATAGTTATTACTTCTATATATAGCAATGCTGTTGATCATTACATATTAACTTTGTAATCAGCTGTTTTATACAATTTTCTTAACACTCTTAAAAATTAAAAAAAAATAATTATAATTTTTTTACTTTTTTAACTTCACCTACAGCTGCAATTTTTTTTCAATTTTTAAAGGCAGGGTCTGTGTTGCCCAAGTTGGACTTGAACTCCTGGGCTCAGGTGATCCTGCTATCTCAGCCTCCCCAGTACCTGAAACTACTGGAGCCCACCACCATGCCCAACTTTCTTAATACTTTTATAAATCTTAACAAGTATAATTTTTTTTTAGTATCTAAAAGACTATAACAAAGAATTTTCTTTTTCTTAATAGAGATAGGGTCTTACTCTGTCACCCAGGCTAGAGTGCAGTGGCTTGCTCATAGCTTACTATAACCTTGAACTCCTGGGCTCAAGTGATCCTTCAGCCTCAGCCTTCCCACTAGATAGGACTATAAGTACATACAGTCAGGTACCATCATGCCCGGCTAATTTTTAAAAATTTTTTGTAGAAACAAGGTCTCACTATGCTGCCCAGGCTGGTTTCAAACTCCTGGCCTCAAGCAATCCTCCCACCTCAGCCTCCCAAAGTGTTGGGATTACACGCATGAGCATCCCTGGCCATGCTGTGGCATAGAATTTTAGTTGCCTACCCCAATATCTATTCTTCCCCATTTCCTCACAACAGAATAATAAATCTACTTAGTGTGGCAATGAGCCTAGCTAAAGAAATACATCCCCCAACTTTCTTTGCCCCTGACATTGACCATGTGATCAAATTCTGGCCAATGAGATGATGAGATGTAAATGAAAGCACATGGTATTATTGAGAATGGATGAGGGGATATAATTTTTCCCTCTCTTCATGCTGTTCCTGGGACAGGACTTGATAGCTGGAGTACCATCTTGGACCATGAGTATACCGGATCACGAGCATACCCTAGGACTGGAGATCAGAGAAGGAACCTGGGTCCATAAGGACTACCATACCAGTCCTGGAATGCCTACCTCTCAACTTCATTTATCTAAGAGAGAAATAAGCTTTTGCCTTGCTTAAGCCATCATGTTCTGTTCTATTTTGTTTAGTTCCATGAGGCCACCCTATTTCTAAGTAGACACCTGCCCTGGAAATTTAGCTGTCCCCATTACAGATGTGGTGTCCAAATGCTTGAAGAATGAGACTAACCTCTGTTCAGGTGGCAAGCAATCTGGAGCTAACATTGAAGTGGCCCTTTTCCCAGGGCAGTGTACCACACAGCAAATCTGAGAAAGATAACCCTCCCATCAGTAAAAGTGTTAATTGTAGAAGTGATTCTCAAGGAGAGGATGGGCAGGTATAGAATTTCATCTTTTAGACAATGTAGTCAGAGAATGTTTTTTAAACCAAGGAGTGATATGGTCCATGATCAGATTAGTATTTCAGGTAGGTGCACAATAATGGTCATTTAGTGGCTGAACTAGAAAGCAATAGGCCTGAACACAGGGAGATCAGTTGGGAGGTTAGTGGAGTCATCAAGGCAAGTGGTGATGCACTCTAACTATGGCAACAGGAGCAGTGGGGCTGAAGAGGAGAGACTGGAGAAAGACTTAAGAGGTCAAATTCTGCAACACTTGGTGTGTGAGTGGATACAGATGTAAGGAAGAGAAAGGAATCAAGGAAAGTGCCAAGATCTCACTTAATTTGAGAGATGGTAATAAGATGGAGGGTGGCACCACCAAGATTGGGAGTATTGGAGGAGGAGCTGGTTTAGGAGGGAAGATGATGGATGAGCTCTGCTTTGAACAAGATGAGTTTCAAGATATCCACAAAGAGGTATCAAGGAATCTGTCAAAATATATTGTTCTACAGTTTAATGCAGTCAAGACTAGAGACACAGACTTGAGAGTACTCTGCATGAGTACATGTGAGAACTATCAGAGACTAAAGACAGAAACCTTGGAGTAAGCTAACATTCACAAGTACTCCAGTTATCTTCCATTTTCCCCTCCAGACTTTCTTTCCACCCTTCTCGCCCTGCTCTCTGCCCCAGAAAGCTAACCTCTATGGAACTCATCAACAGACCCTCAGGCTTCTAGCTCTGTTCCACCAATGGGAGCCCGAGCAGGAGACCAGAAGCAGAGTGAAGAGAACAGGCAGTCAGGGTATTTATTCTCCTGGTTCCTTCCTGTGATTTGAGAGATGGTAATTATACCTCAATTGAAAGTCATTACTCCTCTCAAGGTTGTCTATCCTATTCCATTGTCTCACCATCTGAATTCCAGTAACTTCTACTCCCTCTTGTCTCTTCTGGCCCAGGGCTGATGACTGTTGCCAGCCCCAGGCTCCTCAATACCCTGCTCACATCTACATCATTTATAATTAATCTCTTTGTAAATAAATTTGAGTGAGCTATTTCCTATTCAGACTCTGATAATAAAGGAGTGAGTAGAGGAAGAGAAGTCTGCAAAGAAAAGAAAGCATGGTTAGTGAAGTAGAAGAACCAGAACTTTGTCACAGAAGTCACCAGAACAATGGCAGAGGAAATTAAAAAATATCAAATGAGCTAAGGAGGGAAGATTGCTTGAGGCCAGGAGTTCGAGCCCAGCCTGAGCAAGAGTGAGACCCCGGCCGGGTGTGGTGGCTCATGCCTGTAATCCTAGCACTCTGGGAGGTGGAGGTGGGCGGATTGTTCGAGGTCAGGAGTTCGAAACCAGTCTGAGCAAGAGCGAGACCTCGTCTCTACTATTAATAGAAAGAAATTAATTGGCCAACTAATATATATAGAAAAAAAAATTAGCCGGGCATGGTGGCCCATGCCTGTAGTCCCAGCTACTCGGGAGGATGAGACAGGAGGATTGCTTGAGCCCAGGAGTTTGAGGTTGCTGTGAGCTAGGCTGACCCCACGGCACTCACTCTAACCTGGGCAACAAAGCGAGACTCTGTCTCAAAAAAAAAAAAAAAGAGAGACCCCAACTCTACTAAAAATAGAAACAGTAGCCAGGCATAGTGGCACATGCCTATAGTCCCAGATACTTGGGAGGCTGTGACAGGAGGATCGCCTGAGCCCAGGAGTGTGAGGGTGTAGTGAGCCATGATGACGCCACTGCACTGGGCAACAGAAGAATACTCTGGAAAAAAAAAAAGTATCAAATGTAGTTGAGAGATCCAGTAGGATAATAATGGGAAATGTCTACTGGGACAATTAGGTGGTCACAGATGACCTGTGGGAACAGATTCAGTGGAATTTTAGAAGCAGAAGCTTGCTGCTTCTTTCAAAAAAAGTGGATGAAAGGAGAAAACCAAGATGGACAGTAACATGAGAGTGCTCCAGGTCAAGGATTTTCTCTAATGGGAGAGATTTAAAGATGTTTATAGTAGAGGGAATGGTATTAGTAGAGAGAGAGGGATTAAGAAGGAAGAAAAGATGAGATTATTGAAGAAATGAAGACCCTGAGGGGCAGAAGAGACTGCGGTCATGTGATAAGGGAAAGGGGAAGTGGCAACTTTGGGGGTGACTCTGTACTGCCCTTTTTCTCTGCTCAGCCTCCAGTCATCTGCAGGATGTTGGTCACTACCACCATCCTACCCTGGGGCCTCTCTAGTCACTCACGCCCCCTCCCCGAAAACCGGAAAGAACCTGATCTCCCACAGGGACCCTGAAGTCTTGGAAGCTCTTTGTTCTACCTCTAAAAATGAGCTGGAATCTTCTTCAACTTTCCCCACCTTGACATCTTGTCTAATTTTCCCATGGAGTAAGGGAAGGTACCTAAAAGCAAGATTTATCCTTTTTGTTGAAATCTTTGAAAATTATATTAATAGATAATACATACCTATATAATTGTAAGGATCCGCTGTAAAGAATTAACCAACCTCCTCAACCAAGGGAACAACCCAAGTGGAAAACAACGCCCTAAAAAAAATTCCCCACAAAAACCAACCAAAAAAAAACTCCAAAAACCAGGAACTCAGTCCCCATCTGCTTCCAACCCTGTCTGGCCTTTCTTTTTCATCCTCATGTCTCCTATAGTTGCTTCTTTTCCATCATCTAGTTCTTTTCAAAGTCAGCGTTTGTAGAACCTACATCTGTACCACACCAAGTACAAAATAATTTGTTCACCTAATAAAACAAGATACAATAGAAGTTAGGTATATATCTATCCCCCACTTCAAGACCTGGTTCAAAACTCAAATTCAGAAAGTCTTCCCCAACTGTATCTGACCCCAGTTGACAATTCTTTTACTTCACATTCTGCCAGAGACACAATATTAATG